TGGATAGGTTTGAATACAAAACCACAACTACAAGATTACTGGAGCATTAATTTTATCCATCATTGCTCAATATACAAGAAGACAAACATGTCGAGGTGTAGATTTGAGGCTCTTCTTGCTTGCTTCCATTTTTCAGATAATGAAGCTTGTCCTGAAGGAAGCAGATTGTTCAAAGTTGAACCATTGTTGCAGGCGTTCAATAGAAGTTTTCAATCTGCTTTGGTACCAGGCAAATACGTTTGCATTGATGAATCGATGAGCCCTTCAGAGGACGTTTGTTATTTTTACAGTACATACTTGGCAAACGTAATAAATATGGAGCAAAAGTTTTCAAACTCTGCGGAAAAGGTGGCTACCTTTTCCGCAGAGCTAAGTGATATGATGGCGCTACAGAACAACACATAAGTTATTGTAGGAAAATGGATCGACAAAAGAGAGGTAACATTTTTGACTACAAAATCTTGTCCAGAAATGGTCGACGTTCGTACAAAATCAGGAATAAAAAGAAAACCGTCTACAATAGTAGAATATAATTCTGTTAAATCTTACATTGACGTCTCTGATCAAAAAGCTTCCTACAGTAATCCCATCAGACGTTCTATAAAATGGTACCGGAAAGTGGGAGTAGAGTTATTGACAAATACAGCCGTAGTGAATGCTTTAATTCTGTACAACAAAGCTTTGAACAAAAAAATTGATGTAACACAATTTCGTGAAGAATTAGTGACTGCCATTTGCAAAGACAGTAATGTTACAAACCCTCAACAAACACACCATAGACTGGAAGAATATGACAAAAGAGGACGATGTGTTATGTTACACCACACTGGCAAAATCCTTTGGTCGCGCACATGCAACAAGAATTCCAAACGGTGCAGCACTAGGTGTACTGGCACTGAATATAGAGAAAAAAAAAATGACATTTGTTTTATTAAAACACATAATGTATATTTAAAATAATTTGTTTAGATGTTTGCGTATGTTTTTTCGTAATAAAGTTTCATAAATAATGTGTATCAATTTCAATACATATAGGCTATGGGTAATGACATTATGAAAAGTCGTCTAGGTGAATTGCGTGTATCAAAAATAAACACACCCTGCAAAGCCCCCTTAAAATAAAAAAAATGTCATATGAATTAACTCATACATATAGAGCATTTTATGAAAGAACATGAAAAGAAAGTGGTCAGGCTGTTACAACTTATGCGGATAAATAGGGCCAAGAATTAAAGTGTTCATTCTTCTAATAGTATTAATCTTAGATTTAGGTTTAATTGTATTAACCGCGGAAATCTTCCAGAATATATTATATATAAGTATTAAATATAAATAGAAAATGTTTTTAACTATTGTTAACATTTTTAGATGTACCTAGAAAGTCTGAAGATTGGCGAACTTACTGAATCAGAATATTTGAAAATATTAGACTGGAAATGGGATTAAAATATTTAATCTTGGACTGATATTTTTCGAATATAAATTATTACTAAAATATTTTTATTCTTTTTTCTAACGTGGACTACTTTAGTTAATATAAATTTAAATTGTTACAATACAATTAAGATTTTCGCGTTTTGACTGATAATGTATTATTTTCGTAAATAAAAATAATTTACTCGTTCACTGCCATTTTTTAATTAATTATCCACATCAGCCATGGATGCAAATATTCACTGGTCAGTAAAAGATATTGGTTCGGCAATTTCTTTACGTAGTTCCAAGGCATATAGGTTTCTAAAAGCAAATAATTTTCCTTTAAGGGCCATGTCTACTCTTCGACGTTTGATATCAGAATTTGGCAAGAGTCCAGGGATTTTGAACAGCGCATTGAATTTAATGAAAAAAAAATCAACAGTATAGTCAAGTTGAAAGAAAATGTATACTTTCGTTTGAGAAATTTATTTGACAAATTGAATTGATATCGATAAGAAGCATCAACAAGTTTTGGGACCTAATAAATCTTGTCAAGCAGTGATCGTGCATGGTTTAACTTCTAACTGGAAACAACCAGTGTATTATCAATTTGATCAAGTTATGACTGAAGTAATTCTAGAGTCAATTATTGCAGCATTGTTTTATTCAAATTTCACCATAGTAGCAATTACTATAGGCCAGGGAAATAAGCAAAAAAAAAATACCCTGTTTTTGACAATCGTCCGGCCAGGCAATCGACAGTTGTTTTGAATAGTATGGACCTCTGTAACAAAAACCTATATATTTCCTGCAGTCGATTTTTTGCACTTAATTATTAATAAATTAAGGTCAAAAACGGAAAATTTTTGATTTTTCGTCTATCAGCAAAAAGTTAGACAATTTAAACAAATTTATTTTAGAAGAGAGGAAACTTATGTCATATAAAAACCTTCAAAATAGCGTTTTCAAAATGTATCTATCCTTATTTGTTGCTTAGATACTTGCAAAATAAGTAAAAAATTTCGGTTTTTTATAAATGTTAATAACTTTTTTGAAAATAAACGTATAATATTTATATTTCATTTAATGCTGTGCCTTGCAGTGCTTAAAATATGGTCAAAATTTCGTGATCGGTCAAATAGTTTAAGTTATTTTATTTGTTTATCCCAAATTAACATTTTTGCAACAATATAAGTCAGAAAATTATACAGTTTTAGTAATTGTAAGAGTAGTTTCTGGAAGAAGACTTGTTTTATTATTTACATTAAAAAGAATTAAGAAAAATAATTTTAAATATTGCAAAATCATTTTGCAAAAACATGTCGATTTTTTGCTTATAAACAATTAGAATAACTTTTTAACCATTGACTGTAAGAATATTATTTTTTTATATTTAAAAAGTTTGAATTCTTCACAAATTTAAGTGAAAAAAAATTTGTCCTAAAATAATTTGGGAGAAAGTTAGCCTTTTTTTATTTAATTCATAGCACCTTTCATTATAACACTTAAGAAATCTAATTAGCGCTATTTGAAAGAACATACTTTATAGTTTTAAAGTACTAACTTTTCAAAATGTGTGTAAAATCGGTTGGCTTTGAAACTCGCGGGTGCTGAAGGGAGGGGGAAGGCGCTGTTAACTGTATCCCTGTTCCTTTTTTATTTATTTCAACGTTTCTTTTTGAACTTGTATGTACTTTTTGCGTACATTACGAATATGCATTATTTCAATAAATAAATTGTCAAATAAACCACCTAATTTGTTTAAAAACAACAACGTTGCGTAAACGCAACATTTTTAATTGTATTTTTTTTTAAATATATCATTACTCAAATATAATTTTTATTGCTACATTTATTTAAAACAGGACATAAAATACGAATCTAATAAAATATTTTGAAATAATTGAAAAATATATTTTCAAAAAAAAGGTTAGATCTTTGTAAATGGGTATATTTAAAAAACCCTTAAAAAGGCTACATCAAATTACACGAACGTTTTCGGAATAATAATTCCATCATCAGGTTTAAAAATGCAAGGTTAACATGCCTGAGCCACCCAAATATCAGGGTAAAAACCCCTTTAAATACATACGGTTACAAAAGATTGTACATGTTGTTATAAATATTTAATGTTAAACATCATATATTTATAATATATAATATTGAATATTAAACATACGTAGAATGGAAGGTGTAAAAAATATTAAAAGCCAAGATCATGGTACTTAACGATTTTTCTTACAATTCTGAACAAAGTGGAATGACAATTCCGTAGCGACAGTCGCAACAAATAATTGTACCAATGAACTTCTCGCAGGTGAAGATTAGATTTTAAGTCTTACATACCCTTATGAAAATAGAAGTACCGCTCACGTTCAAGAAGGGGGTTATCTTCAAATGATTCAATCAACAATCCTACAAGATCCAATGTGTGTGTGCGAAGTGTAAAAAATTGCTTTGAATCATTTCACAGTAAATAAATTAAATTTTTGTTCTGGCAAATCCTATCGTTGCGTATATTAGCCATGGAAAATTAGCACAGGTACTTTGTAGTAATAGGTTCCATCGTTCCGGTGACAGATAGCTAATAGGTTCCGGTAAGACAGCTAATAGTTTCCGGTAACCTATTACTTTTGTCACCTATTACCCAAGCTGCAATCAGCTCCATTCCGCTTGGCTTGCTACAGTTTCTTGTAGTAAACGTAATATTTTTTTTCTTTTTCAATAAATGAATACTTTCTACTGTTTATAGTTTATTTTTGTTTCAACCGTGAGTGATAAACATTCGTCATACGTTTGTGGGTTTTTAAAAATAAACATTAAACATCTATACTATAAATCATAGTCTCCGTCTTAATAATCGTACGTGCTTACGGTGTTATTCCCAGCTATTTAAGTGGCAAAAGAAACACAACAAAATCGGTGACAATGACCAGCTTATTATTACAGATATCGTTCAATGTTGTCACATCAACATATCGAATGCCGATTCTAAGTACCAACGTTACACTCGAAAAGTTACGTTATATAACGCTTATCTTTAGCGTATATGCAACAATTTGTTATTAAAAAACTAAAACCTTTTTTTAAACTTAATAAAGAAGTATTTACTTAGCAATACAATTTATTAAAAAATCTACAAAATTTGTTTTTCTTCTGTAGAAGAAAAACAAATTTTGTAGATTTTTTAATATGAAGTAGGAAAATTGGGAGGGTATAATCAAGATAAAAAAAAACAATTTATGTATCTTTCATAACTTTATTTTGAAAAATATATAAAAATAACTGTTCCGACTCTGCATTCACACTTTCTTGAGATTTTACGTTTATTAAAACTAGAACCAACAAATTAAGTAACTGACCCGTCTCCGTACAGTCATATACTGGATCTTACTGAGTCAAACAATATTTTACAGATCCCGTACTAAAAGAATTCTCAAGTGTTTATATTTTTGACTTTAACAAGCAAACTAAAGTTGCATTAAAACTAATGAACAAAAAAAAAACTCTTAACCTAAAATTTTACTTGAACAAAAATACACTGAAGTCCAATAAGAAAAGGAGTCTTAATAAAACTAATATCAATTAAGTTGATATTACATCCATTAAAATACTTGATAAACAGCCGTGAAATGTATCACAATGTATTATCCATTTTTTGAATTATGAGTAATATTAATTTGAAAAACTTTTTTTGTATTATAAGACGAAAAACAAAAAAAAACTAATACAATAACCAGTGTTGGTATCTCTATACTCTTGGTAACTATTAATGGAATAACGAAGGCGAAGATAAATGGAAAATCAATAAGAAATTTCTAATAAACAAATAAGTAGCCACCATATGCTCTGTGAAAGAAACAATGGGGAACAGTTAAAAAATGTAGAAAGTAAGGAAAGTTCGGACAATCAAATCGCAAAATAGTGATGAAACGAGTGACATTTACTGGTAAGAATATAAGATTAGCTGGCACAACAAATCAAAAATTTAAAAAACGGAATTCATAGCAAAAATAAACGGAAAAAGGTATGTTTAGTTTTAATAAAACGTAAAATTAGACAAGCCTTATACTGGCTCTGCTACTGCACTACATACCCTATACGCTGAGATTAGAAGAAAAAAAATAATGGCCGAATATAATAAGGACAGAAAACTGAGTATATAGGATCAGAAACAGGACATATCACATAACAAACAACGAAGTCGTAAATAAAACCATACAAGAAATAGCAGACGCATCTAGAGTCAGAATAGCAACCAACCATTGTGCAAAATAAAAAAAAATTCAGAGAATATAACCAAAATACCAACAACTGTAACGACCATTAATAAAATAAAAAGATCTAACAAATATTAGTTCTTAAAAAATTTATTAGGAACTCTTGAAAATTTTAATTTTATTTTATTTTAGAAGCAAGGAAGGTCTAGAAGCAAAACCCACGAGTCAAATTTCTGTGTGAAGTGTTACTGTATAACGGCAACTTGTTTATTGTAAAATCATAATTAACTAAATTTTATGCAGATTACGATTTTATCCTGATTATTAATCGTTAATAAACAGGATAATCAAGACATTACCAAATGTAATGTTTTAGATTAATATGTCAATGTTTAAAATGTCTAATGAAAATTTTAGTGATGATCTTTTTTTCTCAAAGTCGTCTGTTATAAACCTGTTATCCTGCAGTCAATTAACTTATTGTACATCTTTCTTTTTTAATCATTATACCGACTAAAGAAATGTAGAATTTATATTAAGAAAATTTAAAATTTAATAAAACATTTCTTTGTTCAAAATTGTAACTTAAGCAATTCCTATGCGGAATTTATGTTAGAACAAAAAAAAATTAAAATACCGCAGTAGTTTAGGCAATAAATTTTCACGGCTATTATAGAGTTTATAAACATAACTTAGCGAATTTTGCTTCTATAACCCTCAAGTAGCTCTGGCTCTTCAGTGTTAAAAACGAAATATTTTAAAAAGAAAATATTAGCGAATTCTTTTGTCAAATATTAAAACTATTTTATAAACTAAGGTAAATATAAAAGTAACAAAAAACAAAAATTCTTTCATGAAAACCCAATATCATGGGTTAACACCCAAAGTTTACAAATAATATAGAAGCGTTTCCAATGCCCTATTGGCAGGACGATGTAAATGTTGAGCGGTCATAAATGCTAGTTTGTGCGCATACTGGCAGGGTGCAGGTACTCTGACTGTACCACTCCAGTTGTAATACATATGGCACAGCTTGTATGTTAACATCTGCAAACGGTCCGGCGACAAACCCATACTGTCCGATAAAACATTGTAGCTCGTTGGAGCTACAGTTCCCTGGTTAACGCACTGACTTACTACGAAGAAGTCAAACCTAAAAAATCAAATTATAATTAATTTTTGTAAGCTATAAGTCAGCTACGTTAATGCTACATAATTCTGGTATGCCTGGAGTGGAAGGTCATTTGATAGATACATGATACTATGAAAAAAACTGTGAGCTTTGAAGATGTAAGTCTACATTCTAATACTGGATCTCGTTGGTCAATCAACAAGTCAAGTGAGGAATCTAACAACTATATGAGAGTTCTTTTTAGTTTTGCAAAAAATACTGTAAATAAGTACTGTATTGCTTTTCAAAATGTTCCACGAAAATCAATACACTTGGATACATTCTAATCAATTGGTAAAACAATTGACAGTCTTCAGTTGACACCTACAAAATCACGTTGGGAACTTAATGAAATCGTTGGGACAATGGTTTAACAAATTCAATGTTTTGAAGATCCAAAAACCCTCTTTTGGACAGTGTGAGCACTTGCATTGTCCTGATGTAGGTGTTATATCAGTTAATCTTCTAAAGCAATTGTTGTCCTATAATCAAATTTCGACATAAAAGTTGTGACCATTTTCTTTGGCTCACTTCCAGAATGTATCATTTTTGTTGGTTTTTTTCTCATTGTGAAAAACCCACAGTTACCACATTACCAAACACAGAAACTATTTTAGCGAGATTATTGCTCGAAAAAGTTCTTCACTAAGATCCATTTTTTGACTGATTTGCTAATTTCAAAAATTTACTGTAATGTAATAAAGTAATTATTATTTTCAGTCCACAAAGGATTGAGGTTGTAATCGCCAGCGGTTGCGAGTTGAATTAAGCAGTCTTGGCAGAATTAGTCTTATGATTTTATACTTTTCACATTTCTATGACTATTGAAGTATAGCAGTATATATATTATGAATGTCCATCCATCTACTTCTTGGTTATTTGGCTTCTTTGGCTTTTTTTACTGCATGTAAGATGTCTTTTCGTTGTCATTGGCATCACGTGTCCCAAACATCTGACTATTAGCAAACATATGATAGTTATTTTTCTTTTAATATTTGCCACTCTTAAAAAGAAGATTCTCCGAAGCAGGCATTGAATTTTGAGAAGGGCTCGCAATAATTTGATGGACCAAGAACCAAGAAGTAGTGATGATGAAGATATGAATCGCAAATATTTGACAGAACCAGAACTGTATGATTTCTGGATAATCAGTTTGACGGTTGGGAATATAACGATGTCAAAAGATTCTAAAACTGAAAAAAATAGTATTTTTCCATTAGGCATTAACCTAATCTGAGGTAGCTTGTGATGAAAATAGTTCAGATGCTGAGAATAATCAACCTAATCAGGAAGACCACTTCCTAAAAAGAAAGCAGCTGATAAACTGCCAAACAAGTTCATTTGGAATAAAGTTGATCTCAAAACTTCTTTAGAGAATGTCTACTTGAAAACCTGTTCGAAGTTTAAGAGGTTTTTGAAAATTTTGTTACCAAAGAATTCATTTAAAAAAATAGCTGTACAAGCTGTAGCATCACAACAACTTTCTACCAGTTTTTGGGTGTTTGTCTACTATGCATCAAATGAGAAAGCAAAGAAACATTATTGATTCCAAGATTTTATAATTCAGGACTCCTGCATAATGTCCTGCGCGAGATTTTTAGAATTTACAATTTCTGCAGTTTTGCAACTCACAAAGTTATTAAGAGAAGCTGTTTAAGATGAGTACAATCATTACATGCAAGTATTCAAAAAATCTGTTAAGTACAAGCTGAATATAATAGCTGCAAATGTCAACCATGAAATAAAATATTTGAGTTTGGCAGTGTTGAAATGTTCAATTCATATGTTCATATGGTTCAAATATAAAGAAAGCTTTTAAAAAGTAAATTTTGATTATACTATTCTATGAGTTCTGCAATTTTTAATTTCTATGAAACAATAACAAGTAAATATTTGTCGAGATTAATTTCCAAACATCTGTTGCAATCTGGCAACTGCTGATTTGACAATTGCCAAATCCTAATCTATCAAAGGGCAATTGCCAAAAACAATTTCTAATCAACTAATCTCCAAAGAATTTATTTACTCATTTTTGTTTTATATAAATCAAAAATTGCAGAATTCATAACACAATATAATCAAAATGTACTTTATCTTTTTCAAAGCCCCGTGATTGACGAAAGTCTTATGCTTTTCAAAGGAAGAATATCGTTTCGTCGGGATATGCCTTCAAAGAGACATCAATTTGGAAAAAAAATATGTTGATTGTGAAACGGGCTATAAAAACATGTGCTACAACAGAAATAAAGAAGAAGAAATAAATATCATTTAACAGATAATTGGTATACCAGTCCCATGATATACCAGAAGTTTCTAGAAATAAGAAAGAAAGTGCACAAGTTTGAAAACATTGAAAAAGGTTCGGTTGATTATGTTTTAAACGAAACTTTACTGCCTTTACTAACGTCTATGTTATCTAAAAATCACAGTAATAAAACAAAAACTGACTGATGAAAGAGGTCGTCAACAAATTCAGAACCCAGAATAAAATCAAAATAGTAGGAGTAGACAACACAGATATACTGGGTAACATACAAAATGAGAACACGTAAGAATACATTATTTGACTTTTGAGAAATTTAGTCAAATCTATAATAGAACAATACAAGAAAAGTGGAGTCTAGAAGTTGTCCTAACAGCAGACCAGAAAATGCTCTAAGACTTATTGAGAAACATTTTGGTTCTATTTATTCCAAAAGGTCCATGATCTGTAAGTGGTGTAGTTTGTGCATAACAGAATAAAATTTCTGGACCAAAACCGAATAAACTCCAGCGAGCACAGCCGCGTGAAATCGATGCGGTTTTGAAAGAGTTAGATAGTTGTAAAAATTCAAACTTGTTTTAATCAAAATCACAACACCAATTCGTCACAACTAAAAGAAAGTCTCTGTGTGTATCTACATTTTGTATATATCTTAATTGTCGGTTTACTTACCTTTCAGGGAGTGTGACCACATCATCTACAACTGTGCCTGGGGGAGGATTAGAGTTTGGTGTGAAGAATCGGGTATTTATTCTTTTTGAGACAACAATGAATGACATTTTTAAATCGCCATTTTTGTAAATTTCGTTTGTAAGTTTTTCTTTTATTCTTTCAACCTCCATTGTGAATACAAACGGTAGTTGGCCATCACCTACACCATCTCTGTAAATTAATATCCTCTCTGGGTACCGTCCATTGACTTCTTTGTATTTCTGACACGCAACAATCAAAAACGCACTAATATTCTCTGATAGCTCTTCCTGTAGTTGATGTTCGCAGACGTGGTTATAATAGCGAGTCATTGCTCTATCAAGTGTAGCTACCATTGCAGCGAAACTGCTCTGTTTCTTTAAAGTGTCACGACAAACATCATAACCGACTACCATCACATTTGAAAGGGGCATTACTATACTCCAAGGAGCCCCTCCAATCTTGCAATTCAATTGAATTGCGACTTTTGTCGCTATCGACATTACCCCTAAAAAAAAATTTCTTTAAATGAAGTTTATACTTATAATCCACCCTCTGGGTGAATTAAATACAAATTATACATACCTTTAGACGTAAGGTTTTTCCGTAGTACGATTTGAGAAGGAATCCCTCTATCAACGTAGCATTTCTTTTTTATTGAACCGTATCTGTCAGCTTGATTGGTGGGTAGCACGCACATTATTAGCGTGGGGTCCATCTTAGCAGCAACATTTTCGATTGCATTGCAGAACGTATTGGTTCGGTCGTCGGGTATATCGTAGATTTGGGGCTGTCCGATGTCCCACTGCATACCTCTGGCCGCTTTTTGCAGAGTTTGTAGAAAATCATAGCATTCGTTCTTCTGGCGCGACGGACAAATTGTTACCAACCTTGTCATGTTCGCAGAACTGAACATTCTTTGAGCCCTCAGGTCTCGAGTCCAATCTGCTTTCGGCCCAGCAGGGTACCTCGAGTTATTGGCTGAAAAATAAATTAATCAGAATAAAATGAAAATCGAAAAAAAAAAAATTCGTACAAATTTATTTAAATTTCCTTGACTTGAATATTAACTCATATTAAATAAAATATATAATAATAAAGTTTTACTGATCTAATTTTTTTTTAGTGCTGGCTTACCAAGCCGGACGGCTCGGGTTGAATAACGGCAGACATTAAGAGATTTATTTCTAATTTATCCCTTAGTAAGGAATGGAAAAATATTCCTTTCAATTTGCCGTGAAATTTCGACTGCCGCTGTCAATCCACAGAATGTTGCAGGATATTAAATAATCGTTCGTTTTTTAAATACAATTTGACATATTTAAATATAATTTCACCTGTAGTAAAATAAGTATATATAAATAAATAATTGTATTTTTGATATATTTAGATGAAGCCATGAGATAAATTCCACGACTAAAACAACAGCTGAGAATGGCCCAAAAGGAAAATAAATGTCTTGGTAGAGTAGTTGTTACTCCAACTAATGTTAGTGTTAAGCAAGGACTTTAAATGCCTGACAATTGATCTCTACAACAGATGTTCTCCAAATACCAAAATTTGAGTCCCAATACCAGCAAAAGCCAACCAATATTTTATTGTGAGATTATCTTTCCTTATTATTTATTAGAACAAATTGTTACTTAAACGAATTTAATATCTTATACAAAAAGACAGCAAAAACTACAAAAACAGTAAACAAAATAATGTGGGTCAATAATGGGTCATGGCTATTGGTTAAGTGATCAGTTTTATAATAATCCTAATAATATAATAAATAAATAAATAATAATCCTGTCTTTCCCAATCAGTTACGCGAATCACGAACAATTGACGTAAAACTTCATTCATGTAAGAGTTGAAGTGTTAATTAAAGGAGGATACCGCAAGAGCTGGCAAGATGGCAGTGTTATGCAGTCAGAAAGAAGAATGGAGAAGGTGCATGAAACATTATTCTTAATGCAGGTTCTGAAAATGGGTTCATTGAATATGAATTGATTTATTTTCAAAAGTGGAAATAAATTTGGTTACTACCATGATTCAATAAATTCTAAGAATTTTGAAAAATGGTTTTAGCTTCAGCTTTTACAAAATTTAGAAGAACAATCATTAATTATAATGGATCATACTATTTAACTTTATTGGAAAAATACCACATGATAGTTGGTAAAAAACCCACATATTAATTGTTCAATGACTATGAAGTTTTGAGTTGATTGTAAAGAAGCATCTACCAGATAAAATATTTAAATACTTATTAGATTTATTTAACATTTTTATATATTTTGTTTTAAAGATTGGATACCTTCAATATGGTAATCATATCTTGAGACTACCTTCATATCATTGTCAATTCAGTCCAATAGAGAATGTTTGGTCTTACTGCAAAAGGTATTATGATGCCAATATAACTTCTGCTGGCGTTACAAATGAAACCACAGTATTAAATGCGTGCAAAAAAATCTTGTAGAATCATCTAGTTTGGCATTATTCGCTAGATGAACAAACTTTTTTATAGTTAAGTACTTGTCTCTGCTTGAATAGCGTTGTAAACACAGGGACCCATCTAATGACCAATATAACCTTTTTCGTGGTAATCTGTTGTACCCAGTTAGATCTAATATTGCAAAAAAAGTTGGCATTTAGTTTGGAAATATTGTAAGAGTGATTATTTTTTTCCGTGCGTATCAAAATGACTGGTCAGGAATGTATGTAATAATTTCTTCAGTAGGTAATTTTTCAAAAATTTTAATTGGTGATTAAAGAGCGTCTTTAACGTTTTTGAATTGTTCAGCCAGATAACCCAAAGTTATATATAAGTAAGACACTGCACCTAGCTAGGTAATTGAAACTCCAAATAAATCTATAATTAATACAGGAAAGGTTTTAAATATTTTATCTGTATTCAAATTCTACTTTCCAATGTCTTCAATAAAGTATTTACCAGGCAGCAGTGAATAAATTGTTTTTATGATGAGAATTATATCCTATTTATGTAATTAATTTATAAACCTAATAAACATCTTTGAAAACGGTATTTGTTGTGTTTATAAAAAATGGCAGCAACTATTTAATTGTATAACTAGAAAACGAACTAATTATACTTGCATTATATACTATACTAAAATAAAAAATAAAAGTATATTGCAATATTAAAATTGCAATAAAAGTAAGTACGGTCCTGGCATCTGTCAGATTTCTCAATAATTACATTAAATAATTCAGACACATCCAATACATTATAGGACGTCACAATTAATGACGCACTGAAAGAAGGGCCTGAGAAAGACTTTATCTCGAAACTTTACCAATATCAATTACCAATATCAATTTTGACAGAATACAAACAAAAATTATATTAAATGTAATATCAATTATATACCTGCCACAATTGTTTCCATGGGAAGAACTCGTCCTTGGAATTGGATTAGACGGTCCGCTAATTGGAAATCCCACTTACGGAGTTCTGTTACAGCTTCTGGACATCCCAGGAAGCGCTTGCAGAAATCTTGTAATTTCCGCATGCGGTCCACTGGACCCACACGAGTATGATCTGCTAGGGCTTGCATAAGTTTGAAATTCTCCCTCATACGGTCAGATAAACCTGTTAGCTTGCAGAGTTCAGGAATTAAATAAACAACTTCAGGCATTCCAGCTCTAATTTCTCTAGGTTTGCTACGTGATACGAGAAGGGGTTGGCGCCGCTCCTAAAATAAGGTCGAAAATACATAAATTTCACATACATATCAACATATTCTCATTTATTGATCATAAATAAAATGTCTGTTTACTTTCACAATGGTGCATATATTTTCGCATATACAAAAATAATACAGTTATGTCACAATTGTGCTAACCTTCCTAAAACCGAAGGGATGCAGTTGTAGCCCCGATATTAATGGCAATATTTTATTAATTAAGTTCCTTTAAGGTAGGTTTCTTAAATATTATAATAATTACATAAAAATTAGTGATTCCCAGCAAAATTATCAATTTATTTCAAAGCTCTGCAACTACTCTCAGCACAGTTTTAGTTCTAGTGTGTTTAGTTATGATTGCAGTGATTCTCGAGTATGTGATTTTTAAAAATGAGTAAAACTCATAAGAATGAATGAAAATTAGTGATTTCGAAGTTTTGAAATCTAAAAAAGGTAACTCATCGCCATATTTTCGATACTAGAACATACATTTGAGATGATTTGTTACTATTCTTTGTTTCAAGTTAAGAAAATAACATTACGCTTATGGAGATCAGTGTTGCCAAAACTCTCAAACACTCTCTTTTGCACGGATGTCCAAGATATTCCCTTTGCTTAATTTTTAAATTTTCATTTTCAATTAACATTTAACTGTAAAAGTCAGAATAACTACTAAATAAAAGCTTTATTATCATTATGTAGTCAGAGACGACATAAAATAGCTGACATACGCACATCGTATTATTTTAAGTTGCAATTAGTAATTAGATATACACATTCCAAGCGGTCAATATTTTCTACTGATTTATATGATTGATGGCATATCGTATTCTCACCGAAAAACAAATAAACTGTCGTTACTATAATTAAAATAAGATAAAATAAAATTATCTTTTGTAAATACTATTTATCTAATTAAAATCATTTTCCCTACTTTTCATCTCTTGTTTCGAATGGGCACTTTTGGTCAATTACGTTAAAAAACATTAATTTAATTAATGTTTGTGGAAACGAAAATACAAATTATACAAACCTAAATTGTGCTTGTGTGTGTCGTGGCAACGCCGCGTTGCTATCGTCCATAAGAAATACATGGGCCTATTTTCGCAATGTTATTTTCTAAACGTGGAACGTAGTATAGAAGAGAGTTTGTGATGTCGAAGAGATTCGATATAGTGACAGAATGAATGAGGTAGAAATGTTGTGAAGTTAGTGATGGTGAGATCAATAATCAATCTGTAAATTATACTGAAAATCCAACTTTTACGTCTAAAGATGTGTGTGGATAAAAGTTTCAACATAACGAGACGAAAATTATACAATGTTAAACATTTCAACAAACTAGATACAGTTCTCAGTTTTCCGATATAAAAGAATTATTTCTTTCGCAAGATATTATGAATGTGATTTTATTGGAGACAAATAGAAAAACTGAATCGTACTATGAAAAAATGGGAAGACCATTTCTCCTTTTGGGCAAGAAGAACAACTGCTTATTATTTTTGAAGCCTGACATGCTGCTAAAAAGTGAATATGGGGCTAAGATCCAACTTTATGTGGTCTAGTATCATCCTACCATATCTCGCAACAGTTTCCAATGTGCTTCAAGATTCGAAAATTTTGACAAGAAAACACTGATAAATTTGACGCAATCAGATCTATCTTTGATGGTTTTATATTTAATCAATCTAACAATTGTGCGTGGATGCGCAGTTAGTACCATTCTGTCGCAAGGCAGGTTGATATGAAGAGTAATCCAGATAAGTAGGGATAAATAACTTTACCGTGCTTTTATTCACAAAAAAAGTTAACCTTGACTTGGTTAACTTGAGCACCATCTAATTCTGCCATCAGTTTGACTGAATTGTGCAGTTTGTGGTTTACTGTACACAGTTGTGAATTCATGTGCCACACTAACCCCAAATTAGCGGATTTTCAGTTTTAGGAAGTTTTAATCATGGGAACATGACACTGATGTTCACATGTTTGTAGATTTGAAACAGGCATACGACTCAGTCAAAACACAAACTTACAATATATTGCACACAAGCTAATTAGACTCATTAAAGCCACAATGGATGAGAAACTTAACCTGTCTGTGGAATATGTGGTTAGGCAAATGCAAACTGGACGAACAAACCGAACGGTTCAACTGGCCGCTTATGCCGATGATATTATGAGTAGAACATCAACAGGAGCACAAAGAAACAAACGCAGAGTTAAAAACAGAAACAAAATTAACACAAAAAAAAAACAAAAATAATGATATAGACTAGAAGAAATATAGTCCCACAAAATATTATACAAGATGACATTGAAATGGTTGGAAAGTATATATAAGAATACCTGGAAGTAGAAATATATGCCGACGGATCAGAGATGGAGAAATACAAATCTTCAGATCTCAAGATCTTGAAGAGATGAAGATCTTGAGATGAAAAAATGAAAAATTTCAAACACTTTTCTTGAACAATGTGACATGCAGGGAAGAAACTAAGTACAGATTAGTGCTCAGCACATCCCAACACTTTTTCATGAAAAAATGTAGGCCTGTATAATTAAGTTTTATCAACATATTACTTCACAAAAAACCTTATATAAATTAAAAAATGGTTTATTTACCCGTATATTAATTTTATATTTATCAGCATAATATTGAGCATAACTCATTTGTGAGCCATCTCTCAATGGGAATGTACTGTCGGCGTTTTGAGAAAAATCTACATCATCTATGCGATAAGTTCTGTTGTTATAAAAGGTCAAAACACTTGATCCTATGATCTTGCTTTGAAACTCTTTCCTAGGTTCAGGACCTCTACACTCAAGGAACATATTATAACAGGTGTCCTCACGTAGGACTTTAAATGCCAATTCTATATTCATCATAACCTGATTTTCGTGTTGGCGAATTGAGGTGAAATAACCAGGCCATAAAGATAACTTATGCTCGTGAATGTTTATCTAAAACATAAATAAAGCTTTACTGGGCAGTTAAAATAATGATATTAACACATTGATTGCCATTTTGCTCATGTCTGAGACTACGATTTTTCCTGTAAATCATAAGATCATAATATGATCTACAAGAATCTATGCACATTTCAGCATGAGACATTACATGCATGTACATGAAAATATACATGTGGCCAGAGAATGTTTTTGAAAACAAGCTCTGGCAATCAATGTGTTAAATTAAAACAGTGGCGATTAAAATTTTGTTTATTAAAAATATTTCAGGAATTTGAAAATCAGCAAAACAAAAATTTTGAGTTGTGTTTATTTTATTTGCAAAGCTCTTACCCTGACAGATTTTAATTTTCAATCATAATTATTAATAATGAACTTTAATATATTGGTTACAAAATAAAGTAAGTCGAAAATATAATTTGCATAAAAAGCTGAAACGTTTTTGTTACTCCTGAGAAGTAAAGCAAGAGTTTTGCATATAAATGACTAATATGTCATTGTGTCATAATATGTAAATCAATGTCATATTCTGTCCATCCAAACGAATGTCCATTACATTTAAATACTATATATAAAACTCAGTTTAGAATACTTACTTGACTCTGTGGGTCATAATAGTCCCTCTGAAGTAATGTGAGCTTCATTGCAGAGAGACACTTTCTAATCAGTATATTAAAAAGTTGAATATAATGGAAGTCACCCCAGGCCAGTTCACTAACCATCCTGATATGAATTCTGATTTTTTCACCTGCTTCATTCTCAACAAATTTTTCGAGAGGATCTGGACTAATCCTTTGTGCTGTATAAAGCACTGTCCCATCAAATAAATATCCAGAGAGCGTATCTCTGAGTGCTTGATGCATAAATTTTTTTCTAGCTCCGGTGTGATCAACATCTGGATTAAAGTCAACCCTGTATTGAAATAATAAAAATTTTCCAGCCTGTATTAACGGAAAATAGTTGGAGATCAAATTAATAGGAGCTCCAGATGTACCTACAAACAAAAGCAGATCAATACTAACAGAGCAACTACAAATATAGATGTCATTTCAATCAAAGCCAAAAGTTATAAAACAAGATTAGGAGAAAAACTAAAATTCACTAGTAACTAATAGGGTTGATATAGTGAGAAATTCAACATACAAAGAAATAACAATTTACAAAATGATTGAAGTATGTAATTTAACACAAAGCTCAGACTGAATAAAGGAACTGAGAAGATCTAAAAAAGAATTGTAGAGGAAGCATCGCCTAGAGATAGACTGCAGAAATGTCAAAACTCTATAAAGAACTATAAATGACCATCAATTAAGTATTACATCACTTCAAAAGTAGTCAGGCAAACACACTTGACATGATGAAGAGACCCTAAAAGAAAATGACAGCAGGTTGGATTGGAGACCATAACTTATGGTTCTAAAGAAAACTGGCAAGTAGCAAAAAAAAGTACCAGGATAAATAAATTAACAATATATCCATTTGAGCCATATAAATCACCAGGTGTGGTCTGGATATATGCAATACTTCTACAGAAGGGAAATACCTGTATGAAATATGCATGATACAAGTTTGTTTGGTAATATTAAACATCACGCTTACTTATATCAGCAGATAAATAAAGAGAGCAGTGATCACCTTGCAGCTGTATACCTTCTGGACCTCTCTCCTTTGTGCATTGCTAAGGGTGAAAAGAAAACGGTGAGAAAATCTCAGCAATATAACAGTTAGATCAGAAAGATCATAAAAGAAGTTAGAGATACTGAATGGATGATTATTTCTGACATTATGGTACTCAGATACAGGCCTAAAGTACACCTGTAACTGGTCAGAGTCGGGTGCAGGAATATTTAGTAGTGGTGGATATTTATACATTTTCTAATCACACAATCAACTAAGCATGTAAATGTATTTCTTTTTAAACAAATAAAATAAAATATTGGACCATTAAATTATAGGGAATTGTTAATTTATCACAATTTTGTCTGGCCACACCCTGTATTAAGGAATTGAAAAGTCAAGTATCTAAACTGATTGATTGACCTATTAAAAATCTCCCATAGGCTTGTAAATATATTATCCTTAGCGATATTACTTATATACATACAGCAGCACCTCTTTTAAACAGACATGTATATTTTGTTTAACATTCTTTTAAAATACATATTAGGACTTACCCTTCTTAGTCTGTAAATCAGCGGGCCTTGTTCGAATAATTTCATATTTTAGATTTCTACCTCTCACGCCGCTACTTGTAGCACGCGATTTTTCCCCATCTCCATCTCCTTGAACAGCTAAAAAAATATAAACAGTGAGATTAGCGCGGTTAAATGTGCTCTTGCTCTTTGGGTCAGTATAACCAACTGTTAAAAATGTTTTTGCTGCTATATTTTAATTGTATATGATGTACTGCTACAATTAGAAAAGAATTTAGTGATGTAGAGTGCAGGTGTCAGTTTTTATACCATCACTAGATGATCTGTCCAATCTCCCTTTGAAAAACCATTGTTTTTCATGAAAATATGATCAAAAGCAACACCCACCAACTTACCTCTAACATGTTCTACAGGTGCAGATAATTCACCTGTTTCGCCTCCCCCATATCGTGATCCCCTTCCAGCACCCTAAAAAAATGGTAAATATATAACCATAGTAAATATAGACTGTTGCATTTCAATTTAAGCCTTTCACCATTCCTCTACTAGCGTTTCATGATTTACCTGTTCACCAGGGAAGCCTTTAAGAAAACTGAATTGAAATGACACCTACCATTCATGTGACAATAATTGGTAAAATATTATATTATACCAAAACAGACGACTCGAAAGAGGCACAAAACCATACAATTATTATGGACCAATTGAATTCTATTGTTTCGAGTAACCTTTTCACTACACATATGCCCTTTGTTTCCAAGTAAGATTTTTTGTGATGCTGACCAATAGAGTTACAACAGTCAAGCAATAAATATATGTAGGGTTTTAGCAAAGTCACTATATCATTGTCACTTCAGGTCTTTCATATACCCACATCCCATCTCCATATTTACATGAGAAACTCGAACCTGAACCAAGCAGACTAAATGATTAAAATATACCAACTTTTGGGAAGATGGGTTGTTTGGTTCAATCGCCTAAAACTTCTGTATTTATGAATTTTAACTGTAACAATGCAGTTTATTTTTAGTAGACATCTACATCCAAATCTCAAATGCTTCTTAGTTGCAGTAGAGATCATAAAAGATTGTGACTACTGGGCTTTTATTTATTATTTATCAGTGTTAACAATTTGATCAAGCTCTCATTGATATTACTGAACAAGGCTTCTTCTTGTTAAATTAATAGTAGGGAATATTCCAGTGTCATAAATTCTGTTAAGAGATTACACAGTGCTTTAATTCTATTTTTTTCCATCAACTTTGGGATTTCAACCATCAAGCAGTCCTTTTTTTACTTTATTTACATTATTTCACATGTAGATTCAGGGTCGAGAGTGAAACAATTAATGAAAAAGTATTTAATAAACTTAATATATAATTCTGTGTAATATAAAGTTTTTAAGACATATTGATAAGTAGTATACATAAATGAAAATACAAACATAATAAAAACACTTACCACAACTGGAGCTGGCATTTGTGGTCTAACCCACGGACCCATTTGGGCAGCAGGGGGAGCTTGTTGAGGAGCAGGAGCTGCTGCTCTATTCCAAGGATCACCAGGTGGGCGGTTTTGTTGTGGAGGCCCCTGGGCACCAGGCCCTTGACCAGGTCCAGGTCGTGGACCTCCTGGTGCTCCACCTCCCTGTGGAGCACCACGAGCCCTTCCACGAGCTCTTCCCTTACCACCACGGGATTCCATATTTTAAACTCTAAAAATTAAAAAAATATTTTGATCTTTTTATTAACTTAGACTGTGGCTTCTGAACACACCTTTTAAGTTATTTTAAGGTTTTTTTATTTAAATTTGATCCCTACACCCTATGGATAAGGATTAGATTTATTTAATTTAGTTCACTAGAGAAAATAAAATTTTTGCAAAAGGAAAATGTGGTGACACATATTTTCCAAGCATCAAGTATTAAAATTGAAGATATTTAAAAAAATTATTACATTAACACCGTCATTGCATCACCAGCTGAAAAGAACTGGTAACTATTTGGTATATATAATATATACCAAAGTTTTGAGTGATTCAGAGGAAGGACCTTTTAGTAAGAATTCAGACTGTGATCCTAATTATGCTTCTGAGTTTTTAGTAACTAGTTCAGATCAAGATAACTAATATGATATCAGTTCTGAGAGTGACAAGAATGCACGAAATTCTTACAGTTATTTTTAAATGAACAAATACATGTATAGACAAAGAGATTTTATAATAGAATGTTCAGTGATCTTTGTAATATGGACAAAAGAGAACTTTGAAGCTTTTATTTTTATGTGTCTTATCGATTTTTGAATGTTAAAGTCAAATCATGAATGTTAGGATTTTTATGTTTCAATGTTTTTGTACTCAGCAGTTGGTACAACTGATTTTATAAAAAAGAAGAAGTTTGACTTGACATATAACCTATATATGACAGATGTATCCATGTGTGAAATAAAAAACAAAAAGTAAAAATCTTTATTCATCATACTATCCAATACCCTATGGAGTACAAAAAACACAACATTAGTTTGATCCTTCGAGCGTGATACATCCAGAAACAGCTATTTTCAAAAAATATCCACAAGAACTTATAAAAATTCAGATTGAAGTCTTCTACATATATACACACACACAGGAGGTAATCGTAAGTCATTCATTCTATTTCCTATTTTACCTTACTGATTATCCAACCTATTATTCACAATTTAGAGGCTTTAATCAATAATCATGTCTGATTTAGCAAAATGTGTTAGAACTAGGGGTTCAGTTAAAAAGCGGTTAACTTTGGTAGAAAAGTTTATAGATGTTATACCTTCTGTGAAACCTTCATTAACTGATGCTACAATTAGAATTAACGAATTAGAGTTAATAGATAAAGACTTTGAAAGCATTCAATTAGAAATAGAGGTAAATTGTCCTGAACAACAACTTGAGGAGAACTATAAGGAGAGAGAACAATTTAAAAAGCGGTATTATGATACTCTAAGTTTTCTTAAGACATACATAGAAAGTATGTCTGCAAATCAAACTAGTAACAATTCATTAAGTTGTAATAGTTCTAATAAAGATCCATTACAAAATATTATTTTACCTAAAATTAAACTTCAAATGTTTAAAGGTGATTATGACAGTTGGCTGGAGTTTAAAAGTAATTACCTTTCAACAATACATGAAAATGCATCATTGACACATTCTCAAAAATTTTCTTTATTGAGAGCATCACTAGAAGGTTATGCAAAAAGTTTAATCGATCAAATTCCATTCACTGATAATTTATATCAAGAAGCTTGGAACACATTATTAGACAGGTTTGACAAAAAGTATTTTTTAGTAGATAGTCATTTAAATTCAATTCTTAACATAGAGCATTGTTCTAAAGAATCCTCAACCAGTTTTCGTAGACTATTAGACAATGTATCAAAAAATCTTGTATCTTTACAAAACATAGGTATTAGTAAAGACCAGTTGTGGGATTTTCTAATTATACATTTAGTTTCATCAAAATTAGATAAAAATACTTTTAGAGAGTGGAAAGAGAAAAAATTTAGTGGTGAACTTCCTAACATGGAGGAATTCTTAGAATTTCTTAAATCAAAAGCAGACATATTGGAAATCATACACAACACACAAATGTAAACATTAATCCTAGTTCTAATATAAAACCAAACAAAACAAAAAATCATTCACATTTTAATTTAGCAATTTCCAGCCATAACTCAAATAATAATTACAAAAAATGTAATTTTTGTAAAAAGAATAACCATACAATATACAGTTGCTATGATTTCTTAAAGCTAAATATCAATCAAAGAAAAGAATCAATTTCACAACTACAGTTGTGTGTAAACTGTCTGAGGACAGGACATAAGGTTGAATCATGCTATTTAGGGCCTTGCAAAATTTGCAATGTAAAACATAATTCATTAATTCATGAACAATCCAATAATCCAACATCTACCAATTTATTCATACAACCTCAACATTCAAATACACAAATTCTATTATCCACTGTAGGCTTTTATGTTAAAGATACGGTAGGCAACCAACATTACTGTCGAGCTCTATTAGACAGTGGTTCACAAAACAATTTAATTACACAAGGGTTTTGCAATAAAATTGACATACCTTTAATAGATTCAAAACTATCCATAGTTGGAATTAATCAAGTAACATCACATTTATCAAAAAAATGCAATTTGACTATTTTTTCTAAAATTGACAATTATCAAACAACAATTTCATGTTATGTGATTTCCAACATATGCAGTGAAATACCTGCAGAAAAACTAATCCACCCATCTTTAATTATCCCTAAAAATATTCAATTATCAGATGAACAATTTTTTGAACCTGGAGAGATTGATATGCTTATAGGTGCAGATCTTTTTTGGGACCTTCTAACAGAAGGAAAAATATATCTTGGTAACGGGTTACCTATTTTACAAAATACTAAACTAGGCTGGGTTGTTTCAGGAAAAAGTCCTATATCAACTTCATTATCCAGATGCAATTTTGCAAACACAATTTATTCAGAAGATGCTCAATTAAAAAGATTTTGGGAACTAGAAGAAGTACCTGTAAATTCAGTCTTGCCAAAAGATGAATCAGATTGTGAAAATCATTTTCACAAAAATACTACTAGAAATGAAGAGGGTCGTTTTGTAGTAAAGTTATCATTAAAACTATCTCCTGATGTATTAGGGGATTCATTCAATGCAGCTTGTACCAGGTTTGTAAATCTAGAAAAAAGATTTAATCAAAACAACAATTTTCAAATTCAATATTCACAATTTATTAAAGAATATATTTCCTTAAATCATATGACTAAGATAGATATGTCACAAGATAATCCTAATAAAACATACTATTATTTACCACATCATGGTGTTCTCAAAGAAGAAAGTCTCACAACAAAACTACGTGTAGTTTTTGATGGTAGCTGTGCTTCTTCTACAGGCTACTCATTAAACGATTTACAATACATTGGTCCAAAAGTCCAAAATGATATTATCAGTATTTTACTAAGATTTAGAATGTTTAGATATGTAGTTTCTGCAGACATTACAAAAATGTATAGACAAATTTTAATTCACAATGATCATAAGTCATTACAAAGAATTGTTTGGAGAGATAATCCAGAACAAGACCTTTCAGTTTATGAGCTAAATACAGTGACTTATGGAACAACTTCAGCTCCATATTTAGCAATAAAATGTTTACAAACATTAGCTCAAGAACATATAAATTCATTTCCATTAGCATCACAAACAATTCTAAAAGACTTTTATGTAGATGATCTACTCACTGGTTCTAATAGTATCTCTGAATTAATTCAAACATGTCAAGAAGTCTCATTCATTCTAAATTCTGCTGGATTTCCTCTAAGAAAATGGACTTCTAACAATCCAAATGTTCTTCAAACCATTTCCAGTAATGATGATTCATTAGCCATATTAAAATTAGGACAAAATGATGCTTCAAAAACATTAGGTATATACTGGTACAGTCAATTAGATGTTTTAAAATATTCAATTAATAAAAATATTTATCCATTAACGAGTTCACTTACAAAAAGACAGGTACTCTCAGATATAGCACAAATTTATGATCCATTAGGTTTAATCAGCCCTTGTAGAATTCTAGGAAAAATAATGATACAAAAATTATGGTCATTAAACATGGCATGGGATGAACCCATTCCAGATGATCTATCTTTACAATGGCAACAGTTTAGAACTGAATTGTCAGAATTAAATCAATTATCCATTCCTAGATATGTTATAAAAAATGAGTATAAATTGATAGAGATCCATGGTTTTTGTGATGCTTCTCGAGATGCATATGCTGCATGCATTTTTGCACGCAGTTCAAATTTGCAAGGAGAATTTCATGTACAACTATTATGCTCGAAAACTAAGGTGGCACCACTTAAGTCATTAACAATTCCAAGATTGGAATTATGTGCAGCCTTATTACTTGCACAATTATCTATTCAAGTAAAAACATCACTATTCAATCTTCCTAATGATATACCATTTTATTATTGGTCTGATTCACAAGTGGTGCTCTGTTGGTTAAAAACAGATCCAAACTCTCTAGAAATTTTTGTGGGCAATAGAGTGGCAAAAATTCAAAATTTAACTTCTATCTCAAATTGGAGTTATACTAATACAAAAACAAATCCTGCTGATGTTGCCTCCAGAGGCATACTACCAAACAAATTAAAATACCACCATATATGGTGGACAGGGCCAGAGTTTTTATGTGAACCAAACAGTCAATGGCCTCAATATTCATTTAATATATCCAAATCAAAATTACCAGAATTAAAAAGGATTCCAACAACAATTCTTTCAAATATTTCTGTCAATTCGTTAGAAATATTTACAAAGTTTTCTAGTTATTTAAAGTTAGTCAGAACAATTGCATATTGTAAAAGATTTATTCATAATTCAAAAAATAAAACCAATCAATACTTGGGTCCGTTACAAGCAATTGAAGTTGATCAAGCACTGCTAACATTAATCAAACTAGCTCAAAAGGATTCATTTAATGACACATTAATTCTTTTGTCTCATAAACCATTACCCCGTAACCATAAATTATCTTCTTTATGTCCTTTTTTGGATGAGCAAGGTATTCTTCGTGTAGGGGGACGATTAAAATATACTAATTTACAAACAAATATTAAACATCCTATCCTTATAACTTCAAATCATCCAT